AATCAAATGCCTTGCTGGTTCCTGCAAGTAGCTTTGGGCATCAAAGGCCTCATCAATATCCCTTCTGCTCCAACAAATTACCTTAGAACTATGATTTTAAAAATGTGTACATCATAGATAAGAGGAATCTTACAAATGATTTTGTTATAAATCTTAATTTTGAAGCATTTCACTGTCAATTATATTATATACATAAAATTACATTATATAATACATGTGTACAGATATATATGATAGAGACATGTATATAAATCACACATAATATGCATATGCATACATACATGAGCTCGCAGTTTAACGAAATATTTTGCCACATCATTTTAGTTTAGCATATTTATTTATTATAGTGCTTGGAATGTAACCCAGGGCTTTAGGCATGCCAGGCAAGGACTCTGCCTCTGAGCTGCATCCCCAGCCCTTTTCTTGACTCTCATTTTAAGAGGCATCCCTGATCATAGGGATGAAGTACAATTTTCTATGGTTGCATTTACCCCCACAACTAAGCACAGTTGCCCACTGTTTTCTCTCTTCTCCCTCCCAGCCATTACCTTATGCTTTCACTAAACATATTTTTTGAGCACCTGTTGTGCCCAAGTCCCTCTTGTGCAGAGTGAAGTATTGAGTGGGTGCCCAGGTTTATAAGGCACTAATTCTTTCCCTCAAAGAGTTTACTGTTGAGTAGGAGAAGGCAACTACATAAGTAACTGTATTACAAAGAGAATGGTAAATACCACTATCTGAGGACTACAGATAGGGAGCTAGGAGAATCAAATGAAAAAAGAGAAAAATGAAAGCCACTCACGGCAGAGGCAACATTGAGACTGAGCCTTGATGGGATAGGATTTAGACATGCAGAGATTCAGGATGAAGAAGAATACTTTAAAAAGAGTGGAAAATGCTGGAATAACAGAAAATGTTGTTGGGTGTGGACAGATGTGAGTGGCCCAATTTGGTTGGAACTACTATTCAGCAGGGAGATGTGGGGCATACTACTGGAAGAGAGACTAAAACATGGTGGCAGAACCAGCCAGTGAACTGGGAGGTCAGCATCCCCCACCTGGCTCACCCCAGAGGCTGCTCTTCCAATTCTCGTGGTGGCCAGGGATGAGGATCTGAAGCCTGTAGATACAGCTGTAGAAGCCCTGTGTACTAGTTCTCTTGCCCTGGAAAAGCCACAACTTCCTTAGGCCTCATTTATTTTGTGCCCTGGGCTCAGTGGTAGAGCACTTGTCTAGCCTTCATGAAACCCTGTGTGCACTACGTGAGAGTTGGTGTTACTTTTATTGCTCCCTAGGCAGGAGTTCTCTAAATCTAGGGTGCATCAGAATCATCTGGGGAGCTTGGAAAGCATGTAGATTTGGGCTTCTGTTCATGACAAATTAGCCAAAAGCCAAACAAATTTGACTAGTAAGAAAATTGTTATATTCCAGTGAGCACATATATTTAAAAAACCAACGTTCAGACCGGTAGCACAGAACCATGATTTCAGAGAAAAAGGAAACAAAGTAGGCGAGTCCTCCAAGCCCCTCCGCTTTCTGCCTGGAGAATCCCTCAAGACTGCAGGGCAAGGCGAGCACTGTGGCAAAGCCTGAAAGTCTCTCTGAATTGAGGACACAAGGAGTAGAGTTTGAGGGGCTGAGATGGTTGTCATTTAGAGGGCAGAGTACCAGACAAGAGGGAGTTACGTGAAGACTGGCTCCTGAAATCTCCAGAGACCCCTCCTTGAGTGTGTTGCTGAACAAGAAGCTTCGCGCGTACAGCGTGAAACTCCACAAGACTGAGCAAATAACAGCCGGTGGATCATACGCTCAACAATTGTCGGGGCCCACAAAGGACAGAGAGATTAGTGTTCCAACCAGCCAGACCAAAGGAACCCAAGAGGATTCCATGACATGGCAGAATGGTCCCATCTAGGCCGTGAGGGCAAAGTACAGTATTTACCACAGACCCTCCCTACAAAAACTAAGGACAACTCTCAGAAGGGTTTGGTTGACCTGCAAGTACACTGACTGCCTTTGAAAATGAAGTTAAAATACTTAAAAGGAGAACAACGGGATTTGCACTCAACAAAGTCACATTCAAAATGTCCAGTGTAGAATAAAAATTAACTACAAGACCTGTGAAGACACAGGGAAAAAAAATGACACAAGCCAGGGGAAAACAAAAACACAGCAAGCAGAGAAGTGGAAGAAGAAGAAAACAAACAAACAAACAAACAAACAAACACCAAGTGGCGGGTGTAGGAACAACCCAAACTGAAGCACAGAGGGGGAAAAAAGACTGTAAAAACATTGGTGACTCAGTAACTTGTTTAACCAATTTAGGTAGTTTCTATTTCTTTTTTCTTTTTCTTTTCTTTTTTCTTGGTACCGGGGATTGAACTCGGGTCCTTGTGCTTGCAAGGCAGGCCTCTGAACTGCTGAGCTAAATCCCCGGCCCTAGTTTCTATTTCTTTAATTTTATTGACTTTAAAAAATTCTGCAGGATATATCTGCTGTTAATACTATTTGGTAAAAATTTCAGATATTGTACTTTTAGAGGTGAAACTTTCTTAGAAATTTCATTTAGTTCTTTTCATAGCACCCATTCCTCTCCTCCTTGTGTTATTTCAACCCTTGAACATATTTAGAATAGCTGTTTTAAATTTTGGTCTGCTCGTTGCAACTTTTGTCATTTCACATTCTATACATATTATTTTTCTTATTATTTTGTAGCACTACAGAGATAAGAAAGAGCACAGACTTCTTGCCAGAAAATGCTAGTCAGAAGATACTGGAACAATATTTGTAAATGCTGAGAGAAAATAAAAGTGCAACCTACAATGAAATATCCAGAGAAAAGGGGACATCCATAAAGAAAGGGAAATACTTGTTTGCAAACACAGAGAAGCTGACAGAATTTGTCAGCAACAAACCTGACTATAAGAAATGTTAAATAGAGTTCTTCAGCTGGGAAGAAAAGGCTACCAAATGGAATCTAGAATCTACAAAGAAATGAAAATGAGAGACATGGAATATATTTGGGAAAATATGAAAATGTGTTTTTACTTTCTAAATTTTTAAAAGTTTTTTAGGGTAAAAATGATGATAGTGTATTTTGGGACTTACACACTGTAGTAAATCTTGACAATAAGAGAGGAAGGCAAAATGGAAACAGACTGTTGTAGGGTTTTTACATTATACATGAACGTAGACAGTGAGAAATTAAAACCAAATATTATAAACCTGGGCTTAAAAATGGTGGAATAAAAGACTGGCAGCAAAATATATCCTCTCCAGGACCTGGACTTGAGACATCTGAGAAGCAACAACTTGGTGAACAAAAAAATGTAGATCTCTGGGAATCAGGAGGGAACTAAGAAGAAAACTGAAAACTTCAGGGAAGCTGGAGAAACAGAGCACAAAGCACGGGATTTTACTCTGAAAGTGATTTGTTTTACAAGCTAGAGTTGAAGAAATTCGGTGCAGTGCCCACTATATTTGAGAAGGTTTAATCAGGAGCCATTTTGTAAAAAGGTTAATTATTTAAGATTGAGCTTCACATCAACTACAATTCAGGGTTTCTGGGGTCACCCTACCACAGTGACTAAGATAGCCACAAGAGACAGTCACAGAGGGGGTGAGTGTTAGATATAAACTCACCTGAGAAGCTTAAGCTCAGTCCAGGAGAAGCATGGGAGTTCTGACCTCTATGGTAAGAAGCTAGGCCAGTCCTATTTGGCTTTCAGAGGGGCTGGGTCTGAAATTGCTGGTGGACAGCTTGATGTTCAACCTCCTAGCCATGCTGCCTGCATCCAACACAGAGCTTGGTGGACTGTTTGCTTTCCCCATTTGCCAGTGTGATCCGTGACACGCCTCAGTTTAGACAGTTGCCACAGCCTGGAGTACAGGGTCAGAGGGGGCCTCTGAATGCAGGGGAAGAGTTTTATAAACCCACAGGCTGTAAAGCTAGGTTGAGAAAGCAGTGACTTAGAGAACACAGAGGGGTGTGGAAAGTAGGAGTGGCTGAGTGAATGGAGCCCAAGGGTGGACACCACTGACCAACCATGGCCAGCAGGAAAGGTGTGTGGAAGGATTCAGCATTCACACGCGTGCGCACACACACACACACACACACACACATGAGTTTGGAAACAAAGTAGGTCTTAGTAGTGACTCATTTTCCCACCTCCATATCAGGAGCATTCCAATACTGGAGAACCTGGAAAGAATCTATTGAGTTAGAAACATAGAGTACATTTTTTGACTCATTTTTTAAAATTGGGTTTTGGGGAGTTTGTGGTTTTTCTATTAATTTTCTTTTAATTACTTTTTCTGTTGTTAGGGGAGGTACAACGATAGCTCTTATTGACTATTATGTTATATCAATACCCAGCTGGTCCGTACCTCTATTACGGTTCCTGATTTTGTTGTTAAAGGCAGGGTGGCATAGTTGTTGCTAAAAATAGGTTTTTACTGTATGTCAATATCTGGTTTGTCTTTGTGTCATCAATACTGTGGTTCATTTCTGGAATACAGGTGTTGGGCCAACTACACTGCATTCTCCCAGACCTTGGGACAGGGGCAAAGGCTCAAAGGCATCACTGGAAAGCAGAAAGATCACCACACTAGCAGCAAAGTCGTCCCACTATTATTGACTTGCAAGCCTCACCACACCACAAAAGAACAAGAGATACATGAGAAAACAAAGCAACAAGATGCCTCCCCAAACTCATAGCTCCCCAAAAGCTGATCTACAAGGCTTCAATGGAGAGGAAATCAAAAGCCAACCAGCTCAATTACACAAAGTGAAAAAAAAAGGTGACAAAAAATCAATAAGGTGCTTAGCAAACTCAAAGATATTATAACTGGAATGGTAATGGATTTAATAAAAGTATCAGTGATCTTACAGAAGACACTAATAAAATGAGCTAAACAAAACAATACAAAACACAGATGACTAGTTTAGCAAAGAATTAGAATCCATGAAAAGGTACCAAACAGTTACTTTTTATTGAAAGCATGGGTAGAGAAGTGACCAATGTGAGGATGCTGTCAGAACTGGAAGATAGGGCTACTGTAAGTGACCATATATCCAGAGATACCTTAAGAACAAGAGGACATGGAAAATGAATCCCATGGCTCCTAGATGATAAGAAGAAAAAGAATCTAAGATTAATTTGAATTAACGAGAAATCAGAAGAAAGCACAAATGATATAAAAAACTTGTTTATAGAAATAATAGCAGAACATTTTCTAAGTATGGAGAGAGAATTTAAAATAGAGATAAGTAAGGCATATAAACTCCAAATAGCCACAATCAATAAACAACATCTTCATGAGATATTATAGTCAGAATCCCAAAAGTCTAACACAAGGACAGAATCCTAAAGCTCTAAGAGGAAAGCAATGAATCACTCATAGATGTAAATCTGTTAGATTTACAGTAGGTTTTTCAACACAAACCTCAAAGTCCAGGAGAGCTTGGAGTGAAGTGTTCGAGGCCTTAAAAGGAAGTAACTTCCAACCTCAACTAATATAGCCTGAAAAACTACCCTTAAAATTAAAAGAGAAATAAGGTGTATCCATGACAAAGAGAACCTTAAGAATTTTATAACCACTAAACCAGCACTCTAGAAAACTTTTCAAGGATATTTTAGAAACAATGCCAACAATGCCAAAAAGTATAACAGAATGAATACAACAGGTAGGATGAGTAGCTAAGTAGAAAGGTGGTGGTGGTGAAGGGGAGAATTCAGCAACAGAAACAAAATATTGTAGGAATAACTCAATACCTGTCAATAATAATTCAACCTCATTCCTGGCAGAACTAGAAGAAACAATCCTAACATTCATATAGACCAGAAGAGACCCAGAATAGCAAAAGCAAACCTGGGCACCAAGGGCAAAGCAGGAGGAATTACAGTACCAGATTTCAAATTATATTACAAAGATCTAGTGATAAAAACACCATAATACTGGCACAAAAGCAGACATGTGGGTCAGTGGGACAGAACAGAGGCGCTGAAACAACCTCAGGCATATTCAGCCATTTGATCTGTGACAAAGGGACCAAAAATATATGCCAGAGGAAAGATAGCCTCTTTCACAAATGGTGTTAGAGAAACTGAATTATACACATGAATTATACACATTGACTCTAGCCCCATATCTGTAACTATGTACTAATCTAAAAACAAAATGAATCAAAGATCTAAATATTATAACAGAAACACTTAACCTCCTGGAAGATAAAATAGTTAAAAATCTTGAAGACATAGGCATAGGCAAGGACTTTCTGAGCATAACTCAACTGCACAAGAAATAACATCAAGAATAAAAAAAGAGATTATGTCAAACATAAAAAGCTTCTGTACATCAAAGGAAACAACCAACATAGTGAAGAGACAACCTGCAGAATGGGAAAAATTTTACCAGCAACTCCATAGACAGAGGCTAATACCTAGAATATTTAAAGAACTCAAAAAAATTTTTTTAGATCTCTGAAAATATAAGGATCAGTAAAAAACAAAAATAAACAAACAAAAAACGGGCAACTGAAATGAAATGATACTTCACAGAAAAAGTAGAAATGGCCAATAAACACATGAAAACTGTTCAACATATCTAGCCATTACAGAAACACAAATTAAAGCAACACTAAGATTCCATCTTACTTCAGAAAGAATGGCTAAAGTCAAGAAATCACATAGCAACAAATGCTGACAAAGCTACAAAGGAAAAAGGCCTCCTTTTACATTGTTGGCAGGAATGGAAACTAGTACATCCACTATGAAAATCAATATGGAGACTCCTCAAAAAATGAAAGATAGAAATTCTATTTGACCCACCTATTCCCCCTCTAGCTATCTTCTCAGAAGAGTTAACAACATCATAATACAGTGATACATGCATACTCATGTTTATAGCACAACTCATAATAGCTAAATAATGGAAGCAGCCAACATGCCCATTAACAAATGAATGGATAAAGAAACGACGGTATTTATACATAACAGAGTAATACTGTTATAAAGACAAATAAATTTAAGTCACTAGTAGGAAAATGGGTGCACCTTGATACCACAATGTTAAGCGAAACAAATCAGACACACAAACTTAAATATTGTGTGGTTTCTCTTATATGAGAAACCCAAGGTATAAAGAAATTAAAGAGCAAAATACATGATAGCTTATAAAAAAAAACCCAGGGAGACAGATACTTTGCAAATGGAAGGGGGGCGGTCAAGAAAGGGAGAACAGAGGGAGGAAGGGGAGGGGATGTAGAAAGAATTAAGATGTATTTATGTACATACAACAACTCCCCATGATGAATGTAATCATTATGCACTAAAAACATGTACTAATAAAAACAAAGATTTTAACAATAAAAATAAAGTCAAAAGCAACACTGGATGTATAGGAATGTCAATTAGCCAATAGTGGAAATGAAACAGAATACCAGATAATAATATGAAAGAACTCAGGAAAAAGGCTGAGTTATAGCTCAGTTGCAGAGAACTTACTAGCATATGAAAAGCCCTGGATTTGATCCCCAGTTCTTCAAGAAAAAGTGAAAAGGAAGGAGAGACAATGAGAGAAAGAAACAAAGAAAGAAGAGAGAAAGAAAGAAAGGAAAGGAGAGGAGGGAAGAGGAAAGAAAGGAGGAAAAAAGAAAAGAAAGGTGGAAAGGAGGAAAGAAGAGAGGGAAGGAAAGAGTAGAAAAGAATAAAAGATATATGAAATCAATAATAAAATAGAAAGAAAATAGATTTAAACCCAACAATGTTGATAATTAAATGTATGAGGTGTGATAGAAAAATATGGTTAAACTGGGTATGATGGCTCATGCCTGTAATTTTGTACCCAGTGACTGCTGACTGAGACTGAGGCAAGAGGATCACCATGAGTTTGAGGCCAGATTGGGCTACATAGTGAGCTCAAGGCCCACCTGGACTACAGCCTGAGAGACCCCGTCCCAAAAAAACATGGTTAATGTTTAAATTGCCATTAATTTCCTTGAAATACTCCTTTCTTCAAACACACTTATCTCATGGTTTTTGCACTTTCGAAAGCAGGTCTCTAAAGCAGACGTCTTCTTTCATGAGTATCCTTAGTCATATTATCATATTTGCCTCAGTGTTTTGAACTGATTCAAAACACTCAGCTTTCATTTTGACTTTGGGGAAGAGCCAGAAGTTGCACAGTGCCAAATCTAGTGAACAAGGTGGATGAGGACTTACTGTAATTCCTTTCCATTGGAATGCACTCAGCAAAGCATTCACTGTAGTTTTTTTTCCATTAAGTTCACTAGCACACTTTAAATACACAGTACAGTTACATTCATCATTAGTATCTTGTACCTTTACATGATGCATCTTGGTTCTTATTTTTTCCCCATTCTCTGCCCTCCCTTCACCCCCTCCACCCTCCCCTATTTAACAAAGACTTTGTTTCCATGTTTTTCCCTTTCTCGTATTTTTTCTTTTCCCTTCTTTCCTTTCTCCATCCCTCCCACTTCCCCTACTCCTTTAGATGTTTTCTTCCTATTTCACAATATCAATTATATCAGTTATGCATTTTGATCCTTATTTTCACCTTTTGTCTTTCACACCAGAGAAACTATTTGGTATTTACACATGTGTGTCCTATTTATTTCTTTTCAGAATATGGCCTCAATGTGCATCCATTTAGCTATAAATGTCTCTAGTTTCTCATTCTTTATGGCTGAGTAGTACTCCCTTTTATTTTTAAAAAACCTACATCTTCTTAATCCAGTCTCCCATTGATGGGCAATTGGGCTGTTTCCAAGTTTTAGCTATTACAAAATGTGCTGCTACAAACATGGGTAAGCATATATCACTGTGGTATGATTCCTTTAATTGTTTTGGGAAGATGCCCAGCAAAGGAATAGCTGGGTCAAGTGGGACTTCTAATCCTAGCTGTTTGAGGTGTAGTTTTAATCATACTCATAAAGACACTCACGAAAAAGGACTTCCAGCACTGCTGTAGAACATGGCAAGAATGATAGGAAAGCTGTGTTTAAAGCAGGAGGGAGTATTTTGAGGAAAATTAATGGCAATGTATCTTTTAATATAATGTTTTAAATTTAAATATTAACTATTTGATTAAAATGCAGATTATCAGGCAGAATTTTAAAAGGGCTAGATCCAACTAAATGTTATCTATAGGAAAAACATTTTAAATCTAAAGACACAGGTTAAAAGTGAAAGGGCTGGGGATTTAGCTCAGTGGTTCTGCCACCTGCCTCGCAAATGCAAGGTCCCGAATTTGACCCCCAGTACCAAAAAAAAAAAAAAAAAAAAAAAAAGGAAAAGTGTAGGAAATGATGTGACATATTACATTGGTTTTTCATGATTGCTATAACAAATTATTACAGAATTGCATAATGGCTTATGCAACACAAATGCATTCTCTTACAGTCTGAACCTTAGATACCTACCATGAGTGTCCCTCGGTTAACATCCAAGTATCAGTGACTCTGCATTCCTTCCTAGAAACTTCACAGGGAAATCAGTTACTTGCCTTTTCTATCTTTCAGAGGCTACCCACACCCCTTGACACGTGGCCCTGCCCACCATCCTCACAGCAAGCAAGAGTGGGGCTGGTCTTTTTCACTTTGTGCACTTCTAATCATTCCGTTGTTGTCACACCTTCCTATGATCACAGTTGGGAGTGGTTTTGTGGCTTTCAAGAAGCATGTGATTAGGTTGGCTCCCTAGACAATCCAGGACAATTTTGTCATCTCAAGAGCCTTTGTTTGATTGGTATCTGCAAAGTCTCTTTTTCCTTACCAGGTTCCTGGGATTAGGCTATAAACATTTAGTTATTATGTTACCTACAAGAAATGCAAACGTTAACGACAAGAAAACTACAGCGACTGTCAGACAATTGTACATGGGATATTCATCAATATAGACCATTCATTGGGTCATATCAAAGTGCCATTAAATTTAAAAGATTGAAATCAATAGAGTATGTTCTCTGATCACAAAAGAGTTAAATTGGAAATCAATAACAGGAAGACTTGGAAGTAAATATCACACTTCTAAATAACA